TTGTTCCAATTTCAATGTATTTTTAAAATTAACTAATATTTTTAATTTAAATATTAAAATATTAAAACTTTTTAAAAAATTCTTTTTAAGTACCCAAAGCATAGCTAATTATGAAAGGATATTAAGAAACCGTCATTTAAATTTAAAAAATATAACATACTTCTTTCACTTAATCAGTATAATATGAAAGTAATTTTTGAATGCAACCGTGATAGATAGTACCTCTGACAACCGAAAAGAAAAACTTTCTGACATTTTTTTTAGAATATTTTTTTGTTATTATTTAATTTTTGATTAATTTAATTAAATTATATGTTATTTTATATTATATTTTAATTAGAGAACATTTGTCTCTGTAACCTCAACTGTACTGTCAACTATACCTCACCAGAAGGAAAACTTTTATTACATATCTTATAATATTAATTAATTTTTAATTTTTGTAATTTAATTTACTATTCTTTTTATTTTATGTTTTCCTTAGAAATTTGTTTGTATTCTGCAATTTGTTCATAAAAATTTGTTTCCAAATAAAAATCCCATTAAAAAAATGCTATTATATACATACACATATAATAGATATTTTGCGCTTTTGGAATAATCTGTTGATAATATGAAAATAACTTTTAAAAGTAACTAAAAACTTTTACAGTATTTCTTTTTGACAGATGTTTTTATTTTAAAAACTGATTTTGCATAACTTTGGAACGCTGATTTTAAAAATTCCCTGCATTTATTTATATCACGTAAGCTTTTTCTGGAAATATTAAAGAAAAAAAAAACGTTATTTCTAAAATAATTCATTTTCTATTAAGTAAAAAAGTGAAATCCTCGTTAAAAAACCGTGAAACACAAAACTCTACTCCGAATTTTTTGAGTAAAATTTTCGCCTTTATGGCAGAAAGCTGCGTTGTCCAGACATTCGGCTGTGTGTTTTTAAGGGCATATCCCGTTTTAACATCCAGCAGTAATCTGTCATCGCCGTTATGCTCAATCTTTCTTGGTATCGCCCTTCCATTACTATAATGTCGTGGTGAAACCTCTCTCCCTGTTCTTCGCTAACTGCTGGGAAATAGTTCAAGTTCAAATGCACTATCCTACTTATATTAAAACCTAGACGATGAAAGTGTAACATGTTTTGAACAATACTTCCTTAATTTTCGTCCTTAGAGTTCCCAAGAAACGTATCAACTACTTCCTTAAATATTTTTTGCATAATGTTCTTCTCTGCCGCCCCATCTTCTCTTGGCATCAGATATGGCTGGAAATTTCTCGCACAAATATTTGAAATGCTGTCCTTTTTTGTCTAGGGCTTCAACAAACTATTTCATCAAGCCATGTTTGATATGAAGAGGAGGCAGAAAAACTTTTATGGGTAATCTCTTATTACCTTTTTGCTACCAGGTGTAAGGCTTGTTCTAGAGGGACTATCCCACTGACAAATAAATCATGGAAATTTTGTATAACCCCCTTGTTGTCCTAGGAGCATGTGCAGGTCACCACAAAGCACCCCCTGATGTTCTGGTCGAATCGCAGAGTCATGATTTTGATACATAATTTGTGTCTTATTTTTTCTGTTTAATACTTGAACAATACAGGAACAAAAATAACAATCATCACTTTGATAGGAACACCAAAGCTTAAACATATCTTCCTTCCTTTTCGCCAGTATCTTCATGCTTTAACGCAAATGGAAGAAACAGTATGAGGAGCCCAGGACTTGTCTTGGTCGCCAATTTTTAGACCAAAATATGCACGGTATTCAATTTTCACAAAAGAGTTTACCTTTGTTTTTCTTCGACGTAACTCCTTCATATATAACAAAAGTTATTTGGATTGTTCACACAAGTCTTCCTTTCATATTTATACGTTCTAGAACACTAAAAATACTCAACAACGAAGACAACAGCCGCGAACACAGTAGTACGACGACCAAAACAACCAAGCTGCGCATAAGCAGGTTACGACGCTGTATTGGCGCTTCTGCGCCAACTCTGTTGCTTTGTAGAACAGTTTAATATTATGCAATGTTGCCAAATCTCATTTAATTTCGTAAAAATCAATTCACTTAAAAATCATGCCTAACATGGAACAAAAATATTCATGACATAGGTATGTATATTAATAAAATGATAGCGTTCTTTGAAAAAAGGGACTCCAAAAATATACAAATAATCAAACAGCTTTCAAAAATCAAAATCACTGTATACCTGTGTAATTAATTTAATTCAATTGAATTATTTTTTGCTTTATTTAGAAACTTGTTTTTCTCCTGCAATTTTTTCACTAAACTTATGAGCATTCATAATTTATATTTTACTGTTCTATTTTCGTTTTTTGCATATTTTTGGAAACATTCTGTGTATAGTATATAGTGTATGCATGTTTATATCAAGCACATTGACTGCAAAATGGCCCAAACCCCTTTTCACATGATTGTTATCTTTAGAGATAGCATATTTCTTTGTTCCCGGATTATATGCGAACCTATTATTCCAACAAGTCTATTATTTCCTGCTCGGCCGAAATTATACCCTATTTGTTTTTGTCGCTTATACACACCAAGCGCACTGGTACATTAAAAATTATTTATTGCGGTGTATAAATCTTTGTCACAATAAAACACAGGCACCTATACAAATGTTGGACACAGCAAACTGATTTTTTTTAACTTAAAGGTCAATAAATGTGAAGACAGGAGATCTCGCAAGATCTATTACAGAGTAGGAAGAATAAAATGAGGCAATGCTGAAGCTGAATACAACTATGGGTTTTATTGTCACATACATAAAAAACAGGCAGATTTTGAGATATCGGTATGAAAACTTGTTTCGAGTATTTGTTGAGATGTATAGGGTGCTAGTTTCGCCCATTAATCTCGTTAGTTCATGACATAACCTTCGGATTAGTAGCGTTCGGTTACATCTTTAAAAATAATCATATAGTGATGATTTCTAATTAACAAAGATATACCACATTTATTTCGATAAAACACCGTTTTCGAGATACTTGCATTTTAATATCGGACACCGGTTTTTTTATGTTAAAATAATGATAATAGTAATAATAATAATAATAACACTAATAATAATAATAATAATAATAACGTTTACTGCCAACAGAACGAAAAATTACAATAGATTTACATAAGTGTAAGTAAATTAGGAAAACATGCAGTAGAAGGCTTGAAATAAATCGCAGCCATCCATGCAAAATCCAGATACTGTTAAAGCGTCATTTAAAAAGAAAAATCATTGTTTCAAATTACAAAGAATAAGTCTTATATAGTAGGTAAATAAACAATAAATATCCATAAGGGAAGCAAAAGGGAAAAGGTAAAAGCAGGAGAATAGGAAAAGTTGAACAAAAATGAACAAGTATTGCTTAGCTCTAAATGCATGGTAGGCAGCACCGAGGCCAGACCAGTCCAGACAGTTAATTAGTGCAGCAATATTGTAAGAATTTGACCTTTTAAATACTTCCTTTCTGTACTGGGTACAGTCAGCAAACCCCTATTACGCAAATTAAGCCCATAGAGGTTTCACCCAAAGAAATTTTATTAAACAGATAGCGAAGTGACTTATTTTTAATCACGTCATCTGCAACTTGAATCTATTATGCCAACCAGCAGTTTGGAAAAAATTTGAAATTCTTTGGCGTCTTTGAATTCTATTAATCAACCTCAAGCATGAGTAGTCTTTTATCGGCTGCGTCAAGGCTGTAAACACTAGAACAGTGGTTCAGACGAGACAACACCATAAAATCGCAAAGCAGCTTCTTGGTCTCTTGTGATAAGTAGTATGGACAAGAATAAATTTGTTATAAACTACCATAAGCTGTTTTAAGTTTTTCAGTTACAGAAAAAAATTGTAGAATCCAAGAATAAAGCCAGGCTTTTCCTGGGATCATAAAATTGGAGGGGAGTATCAATAATCGTTAACAAAAGCTTTTTGTATTTTCAACTTGAACATAGTTTCCGAAAATTACAGCAGCTGATTTAGTAGGATTAATTTTAGTAGATGATCCGTAGCAATATTTATTCAATCAGAATTTATAAGATCATTAGTTAGTCGAATGTCACTGTCATTGAAAGCTTTGGGTAGGACTGAGAAGTATAAATAGTAAAAAAGAGAAAGCAAGATGCTGCTCTGCGTCACTCCTGAAGAAGCGATTTAAAACATTTTGATAATGTTTTTTTATGAATTTGATCTGGATATATACGAAATGCAACCGTGAGTCACCTTGTATCTGAATGAGCGACATTTTGCAAATGCGTATTTTTTTATTTGCATATTTATTTAGCCTCAGCGTATGAACCACTTAAAGTTATTTTTTATTCTGATTTAAAATAACTTCTTTTGATTATATTAATGACAAATGGCATTCTGGTTTTACTGGTTTACTTCCTTAGTATTAGACCTTAAAAAAGCACTTATTATTTGTGTTTCATTTTATGCTATAAGGTTTCGTTTAATATTTTCATACCAATTATAGTTAGTTCTAACAATATGGCATGACGGGCTATATTGCTGAAAAATTAAATTGCTTTCCAGTGGTGGTTCATTTATGAACTGCATATTTCCTTTTTCTATTATCTCCCACGCATCAAATTTTGATTCAACACTAAAAATAACCGAATTTCGCTGTTCCTGTGACCATCGCTCTCATTAATTTTTGAAGCTACTGTGATATTATTTACAAATCTTTTGGATTCATCCTGCGTCAGTTGCTAGCACGAAGAATCCAAAAGATTTGTAAATAGTATTCTCTTGCTTTGGAGTTGCGGTAGCTGAAACCATTTTTTTCACAAACTGATGCAAACTGTACACATCAACTTGTCAAAATTAATAGTTTGCACTTTGGCAAAAACTATGCGACGTATCAAATTAACGTTTTCATAGTTGAACTTGTTAGGAAACTAATATCTATTCTTATCTAAAACCCCTAAATAGCATCAAATTTTGACAACTCATTTGAATCTAATTTTTGTTTTGTTTCAGGTGACCTTTTGGACATATTTACGCTGATGATATCCGCCATCAATTTCGTCCTGTACTGCATCATGTCCCAAAAGTTTCGACAGGTTTTCCGGTCCATGTTCTGCGGCTGCTGCAAAGACGAAGAGGAAGAGCCGTGCATTGCGCTACAAGCTGCACTTTTGTAAATCTGAAGTAAATTTTCTCTATAAATTATTTATATTTTACATATTTCTATACATGCATAAAGGTTCTGTGATGTTGTCCAAGTATGTGACTTAAGTAAAAGAATAGTGACCTGAAAGAGCTGCATAATTATAATGAGAGAAAAGAGTGCTATTTAATTTTGTATAAATTAGTAGTGATGTTTGGAGGTATTTCTAAAATACCGAAAAAGTTATATTATACCTTAAAACTTAAATTTTCAAAATTTTTTGGGTTAATTTTGAAATATAGTTAGTAGTATTACTTAGTTTCAAAAATTCGCAGCGCAATTTTTTAGTGATATCCAATTCTTTTATCCAATTTAGTATACGATTTCTAGACTGGTTAGCCGCTAGATTTAAAAAGGATTGAAAGAAAGAATTGTTCTCTTTCAGCTAATTATTAGAAAAGCCATCATAAGGAACTAATGCATCAGTTAAAATTATTTTCAAATATACAGGGTGTCGAGTTAACGACGAACTTTAAAAAAATGATTGCCGATTGAATTTGTAGAACTCGATAACCCACTGAAGGTATATTTATATTGCCTGATTTTTTATTTGATTTTCTATTCTATTTATTGGATAATATTTTTTTAAGGATTTGTTGTATTTGTTTTGAGTATTGTTTACTGTTGCAACGTTTATCAAGTGCAGAGACGAAACCCACCATAATAAAATTATTGTTGAAATGGATGATAATTAACAAATGACAAAATAGCTACACGAATTCGGTTAATGTACACTGACGAAGTAATGTATTTAGTCAACTTTCAAGTTTTTGAAACTACGTCGATCTTCATAACTCATATATTTCAGGATACATTTTCTGCTGCGTCTGCAGCTTTCCCAACTTCATAACGAAATAATAAATTTAACAATGTAATTATTATATCTAAGTAAGGAATTTTTTTGGTTAATTATTTTATTGGAAAATACCAGTAGGCTATAACACAAATACGACAGAGCTTACAAAATTTATATGATTAGATGGAAAATCAGATGGGAAATTAGGCAACGTAAACTTACTTTTGCTCGTCATTTAATTTAGTTTTGTGCGTCTGTGTCCCATACAAAAAATATTACTTTGATGCGCCGCCAATTTTAGAATTTAGCTAGTAAAAAAAAGTTTAAAATGCTAAAAACAATTAACAATTGGCCTACCTTGTATGTATCCTTTTACTTTTTCTTTAAAAAGACCTCGAAACTGCTTCCTGTAATCCCCGATGCGTATCTAAAGTTATTATGATTTTTATTTTTTTTCATTTTTTTTTCAAAATGTGTAATTTGTTGCCTTAATACTTCAATTGTGGTTGAAAATAGCTCAGGATTCAAATATTGATGAGTGCCGTGATTAGGCAGTTGTTAGTCGGTTTCATTACTTCGAAGTAATAAAACTTGCAGGCTGTGTCGATTAGAGGAAAAGAAATTAATAAATATTTTTTAATAATTTTATTTTTATATCTGAGAGACAAATATGTATTTTTAAAATATATTATTTTCGTCCCTTCTTGAGAATATTTCAAGGCTTCAGCCCATGTCGCTCAGCCGTGTACCATACCATGCTCGTTGTTTGTTCTTCTGTAAGTAATTGGTAAGGTATTCTTGAAAAATAAAAAATGGAATCAATATAAGCTGATCAATAAAAGGTTGAAATAATTTAAACATCTTCTAAAATAAATGTAACAGATTGACGCAGTTTGAAGAACGTTTCAATTTCTCTCGTAGATTTATATCATTCCTACTCTAGGGATAAACCGTAGAGACAATTGTGTATTATTGTTATTGTTGTAGTCGTTGCTTCTAATTAGTCTATTATTAGCGATAAAGTAAAGTTTTTGCAATACTAGGCTCATGAAACAAAAGAAGCCGTTTTCAAAATAATCTGGCTTTGTTTTTGAGATGCAAGTTGAAACAGAAAATCTGTTTCCCTTTATATTTTATATACCCTGTGTCATAAAAGGATGATGAAAGAGCCATCTTATAGATCTTTTTCAATATAATCCAGTGACTACTCAAATTAATGGAGTCCCCCGTACTTTTTTTGGGATATTTATTCGCTTTTCAAAAATGAATAATTATTTAAGTCTACATTATTTAAATAAACATGTATTATAACATTTTTTGAAAATGTACTTCCTATCCTAATTTTATTCTACTTAGCAATCTTCGTATTATTATTATTATGTGAAAAAATACGATTTGTCTTGCTTCAACAGTAAATTATTCATTCCAACACTGTAGCAATGTTCCTCAAAATACCTATTATAAATTGATTAATGGCCCCAATACCAAAAAAAATATCAAAAATCTTGGAAGCAATGCACTGAAAGGCTATATCAGAGCAATTAAATTCATTGATGTGAACAATAAGAAAAGGTAGTTACTAAATACGTATAAACTTTTTTAAAACTTCTGGATTCCTCCTGCGTCGGTTTTTGTTGAGTCGAACTAGCTAACGTTTCGCAAATCATCCTGTTGGCTTTTTCAGAGCTAAGCTCTGAATAAGCCAACAGGATGATTGGCGAAACGTTAGTTAGTTCGACTCAACAGAAACCGACGCAGGAGGAATCCAAAAGTTTTTAATTTTAAAAAGTATTACAGTAGCCTGTGCAAGTTTCTTTGAAAAGATATAAACTGTTTAAATTTCTTTGTCAAAGTGAACAATTGAACATATTTTTGATTTCCCAAAAATACGTAAATGCCCAAAGAACAATTCGTAAATCATACTGGTCTTAAATTCAAGCAGTTTTTTTACATGCCAAGAACAGTTGATAGCAACCAATTAACGTACTGCCACAATCCTCAAGACAGGCAAAGACCACATTGTTTTAGGTTGCTCGGTCCTTGTAGAAAAGAATACTTCGAGCGTCATAACGCAGTTGCAGCCCACTTGCACGGGAACATTTTTAAAATATATTAATAACAAAAACATTAATAGATGTGGCAATCCAATCGTGCTACAACATCACTCAAAAAGAAGCAGAGAAACGGCTGATACTTCCCAAATTGATATTGAAAGAACATGGGGTATGAGAACCAAAATCACCTTATTAGTGATAGGATCAACAGGATGCGAAGCAATAAAAGACGTTCTAGAAATGAACCACCCACTGAGCTTGCACAAAACCGTCTTGCTAAAACAGCTCACATGAATGAAATTAACAATTTTAAAAAGTCTAATCCAGGTGTATTGAGTGATCTCGGTAAATTATAAAGTAGACCATAAAATGAAGCAAACTTAAGTGAAGATCCACAATAATAATAATAATAATAATAATAATAATAATAATAATAATAATAATACAGGAATGAACATAAAACAAATAATTTTTTTTATGTTAATACAATTTAAAAGTGCATAAATAGTGTTAGATTTAAATTAACATAACTGAAGCTAGTGTCCTAAAGGTTATACCTTTTTTTTTAAAAATCGTTATATCTCAATGCTACCTAAATAAGTCTACTAGATTCCTATTGCTCTCAAAAACAAAGGCAGCCATTATTGTTTTGAAAATTACGACTATTGATATTCTATTTTGTAGACACTATAGATAATATATATATACAGGATGTTTCAAAAAATATGCTATAATGGTTGTAGATTCGTCATAAAAAAAAGAAAAAAAATGTTCATATATGTTGCAAATTCTTAGATATGGTAGTAAATAATTGTAATCTGTTTAATTACCCCTGCATTATCCTAAATCAGTTTGCCATATTTAAACAATATGATGCAAAAAATATTAAATATATTTTAAAAAATGCGTTTTTAGTCGTTAACTTTTTCTCCCTCTTTTTTGAATGGCGCATCTTTCTTGGCACATTCTGTATAGATTTTCGATATGTCCGTTAATATCTGTGTCACGAGTATAGTCGAAAGTTTAAGAATTAAATTCTCAAACTTAATCTATTATACATCGTCATTGTTGTTAACTTCACTGTCGAATTGTTACCCACTACCTTTGCTCGTGTTGATATATGCCATGTGTATTCAAAAACGTTTGCTAAAATAATGATAGTAACAACAAATAGAAGCATATTATGTCTCAATGTTTTATTCTTATGACATTCAATGTTTATAGGTGTTTATAGTAAGCTCGCTCAATGGAGCCCCTTAACATTTAAAAGTTTTAGTCAATAATTAGACTCACCTGTTCGAATCCATTTTGTAAATATATAAAAATATAAAGAACCGAGTAACAAGCACTAGAAGTAGTAAAGGTTATTCGGCAAAATATTTTTTTAATAACCCCTTATCTATTGAATAATGTTATTTACAATGCATCATTACTTCACCAATCGCCCCAACACTGATTTTCATATATTTAAATCTAAAAGAGGATACCCAGCAGCTCGTTCTAATGAAGTAACCAAATTAGAACTTTTTATGATATGATTATTCTTTCTAAAAAAAAATTAATTACAAATAAATTGTATGGGTTAATGCGACAATGTGTTTCCTGTTTCTTCGGTGAACTGCTATATAAATTAATAATGATTTACATCCTATGTTTTACAATTTACCTTTTATGGCTATCGTTATAAATGTTAAAAGTTAGTTAATAAAACATTTTAAAGCTAACAAAATGCAGGGTGTTTCAAAATAAAAGCGAAAAACCTAAGGGCCATTAAGGCATTTAAAATTAAATGTTTTTTATCATAAAAAAAATAGATGGAACAATAGCCCTATCATTTTCATTAACAAAATTTTTTAAAAAATCTATATATATTTTATTTAAAGGAGTTTTTGTCTATTTGCAATTTTTTCATAAAATTTGAATTTACCAAAAAAAATAACAGTAAATTAAGCTGATCCACATTTATCTTCTAAAAAATTACGTTCATTCATGCCTACACTATGAATAAATAAAAACATTCTTCAAAAACTATTTATTTACTCAATGAATAAATAAAAACAACATAAGCAAGACACCTAAAGCGAAACAAAAATGCAAGTTTTATGCATGCATTTATGCATTTTTTATTTAATTAGTCGTATTTTGCATTCAAAGTAGATGAGAAATGTAAAATAAAGTATTAGTGAAAGGCAGCATCCCACTAGATTTTTTATCTAATTTTTTTTATGTAGTGATTTAGATTTTATTCTTTTATTACGAAACAGTAAGCATTATGAAAAAATTGTAGGAGACGTCAATGGTTCTAAATAAAACGTAAAAAAATGGAGATTTTTATGTGATTGCATAAGTTTTTCCCAAAAATTCAGTTGAGAATGATAGGGGTGGTCATTCAATCTCTCTCTCATTTTAAAATAACAAAGAAATACGCAAAAGGTGTGTTCTTATGATAGTTACACTATTACAATATTTTACTGTTCGTTTTTAAGATAAAAATTAAATGCCCTTGGTTTATGGTAAGGCGAAGCAAAATCCGCAAGAGGCATGTTAATTTATTAGAACCAAGTGTATTGTTTGTTGATAAAAATACGTCTTATCAATTTTACTAGCAAATACCAAAACAACGTAGGAGTTAAAAAACTCCAAATTTGAATGGATTATTCAAACCATTTCCAGCTTAAAACGTTGACGCATGTCTTTCGAAACACTCTGCATAGATACACCTTAGAAATTAAAAATGTTGCAGTTCATCCCAAACTTCAATTTCAACCAATAATACTTGTAATGTTCAACATGGCTGTTTATAAAGTTGATAGTTGTCAGTGTTCAAAAAAAATACCACCCAGCGTAGATTCTCCATGTGTGAAAATGTGGTTTTACCGTATTGATGGCATTTAATCTAACCTAAATATACGTCACTATCTGTGTCACTAGTGTAGTGGAATGGTTAAGCGTTAAAATTCTGAAATTAAAGGATAACATAATACACGTAATCAATGTTGTTAAGCTCACTGTCGAATTGTTATGAAATACTAATGTACGTGTTTATGTTTGCCATGTGTATTCAAAAACGTTTACTAAGGTAAATGATAATAGCAGCTAATGGAATTCTGTCTCAATGTTTTATTCCTGAACGTATATCTTATCAAATTTAATGTTTATACGTATGCACATTCGCATTTGTGTCCATGCCATAGAATCGCTCATTTTAGACACTTAACTTTAAAAGTTCTAGTAAATAATTAGGAATCACATGTTTCAATCCATTTTAAAAATGTCGGCCACTTTAAATAAATATATAGTCGTTATGTGTTAAATGTTCAACCTTTCAATCGTTATTACATTTGTGGAAATATTGTTCTTTCTCCTAATAACTAACAGGGTAAATTGTAAGAACATTATATTAAAAATATATACACGAATAAACGTTGCCCATGTACTGAGCCCACAAACGGCTAGTTTAGACAGTGTTTTTTAATTTACTCACCTAGCACTCAGAAACAGGGAACAGAAGTCCTAAGCTTTAATAGGCAATTTTTTTTTATAACTCCTCATCTATTGGATAATGTTACACACTGATTATTTCCCAAACATTTAAAATTGACCAATGTTTCAACAATAGCTACTAATGATTTTCGTATTTCTATTGGTGGTAGGTAATTAGAACGCAGCTGCTCGTTCTGACAATGGCCTCAAAAAACCTATTTATTTCTTCATTCTGGTTTTTTGAGTGACGTGCGATATAAATGAAAAGTGTTTTACATATTATGTTTAAAAATTTATTATACATTTTAAAGCTACATACAGGGTGTTTCAAAGAAAGGCGAAAATGTTTAGAAGTGATTTCTTGTTTAAAATAAAGGGTGGTGTGATATAACACTAGAAAAATGGCGAAAAAATAATGTTTTGATTTTTTATCATAAAAATAATTGTTTTCTGCTGCTTAAACCAGCCTCATTTAAATGTCTTCTGATTGTTTGAGACGATATTGTATGATGGCGAACAGTTGTAAGTTCACTTTTTAAGAAAACTTTTTTTTTCATGTCAATGTATAAGTTTTTCCATGAATTTAGTTAACAAGATTTCTGAGGCAATTATAGCAAACCGGTTGTCTACAACTACCCAAATTTAATTTTATAAAATGTAAAATCCAATTTGAAGAAGCTATTTTAAACAGTGTTGAAAATAACAGTAGTTCAAGTGCAAACATTGTTGTAAATAAATTGTGAAATATTTGAGAGCTTTCTTTGTTAAGGACTCTATATAAGCAAAAATTGAAATCATACCACTTTACAAGTTTCGAGGAGTTGTCGCTTAGGGATTTGGCCTATCGTTTTCAAGCAAATTAGAACATGAGAAATTTTACAGGGATAATACTACTCACAAATCAAGCCTCATTTATCTAGAGGTCGAATGTGGTTTTAGCCACATTTTACAACTGATGATTCAGCTTTTCATGGTGATTTATTGAATCTCCCTCAACCTCGTTCATCAGATTTAAATCCATTGAAATTTTGTTTCTGGGCGCATTTGAAAAAAAAAAATGTTTTTAAAAGGCCACT